CCTGATGTGGGCGAACTTCCCAGCTTACCTCTGGTTCCTCTGGGAGCCTTCTGCTGGTTTCAGGCAGTCTTTACTGAAGAAATGACCCTGTTCTAAAATGGTGATGCGGGATGCACTCCCTGCGCATCAGGTCTGCCCCAGCGGTGGGTCCCCACTCCCCCTCTGGGCTTGGACTGCAGGCCAGAAGGGGCCTGGCATGGGCAAACTTCCCAGCTCACCTCTGGCTCCTCCACGAGCCTTCTGTTGGTTTCAGGCAGTCTTTACTGAAGAAATGTCCCTGTTCTAAAATGGCAATTCAGAGACAGGCACACTCTTCTGCACGCCAGGTCTGCCCTGGCTGTGGGTGCCTGCTCCCCCTCTGTGCTTGGACTGCTGGTCAGAAGGGGCCTGGCGTGGGCGAACTTCCCAGCTGGCCACTGCTTCCTCCAGGAGCCTTCTGCTGTTTTCAAGCAGTCTTTACTGAAGAAAGGTCCCTATTCTAAGGGGTGTTGGTGATTTTTTCTGGTCGCTAGGTGGCGCCAGAGATCTCTCCTAGTGTCCTTGGGCAGCTGTTTTTTTTTTTTTTTTTTTTTTTACCCCATGGGACAGGGGAACAGAGTGGGAGTGGTGGGGAAAGCCTCAACAGCTTTGGGGTGCTGTGTCTGCCTTGTGCCCTATCGTCATGAGGATCCCACGCCCTGAATTTCATGTTCCAGGTCTCAGTTCCAAAGCCCTCAGGTCCAACATGGGCTGTAGCCCAGTTCAGTGTCCGCAGAAGTGGAGCCTTTTGCATCCCGCTCCCATGTCCCGGCGCCTGGTTTCTGATTACTCAGGGAGGGACATTCACCTCACTGAGCGCCCCCGCGCATATCCCCGCAAGCCTAGGTTGCAGGCACGGGGACCTGGGCAAGCGCGATCCGTGTATCCTTTTCAAGCACACCGCTTTTCCGCACAAGCTTACCGGCTGGCCTGGGGCTGTGTGTAGGTCTCCGGGAGTCTTTGTTTTTCTCTAATGATACCTGGAGCCATTGGCGAATCCTGCAGGGTTCTCCACAGCTCCAGTTCATGGGGCGTGGTGGCTGAAATATTTCCTTTCCATTCTCTGTACCACTTGATGCGTAGTTTGTTCTTGTTGGTAGTTTTAGGTTTTTTTGTTTTTTCTTCCTTCCTGTTGGTCGGAGAGTGCCGACTTTGTGGGTGGGGGAGGGTAACAGGGTTCTGAGCTTTCCTCCCTTCTAGTCCTCTTTTATGGCAACTTTCTTCTTTGGGTAGTTTTCTGGAGTCGTCTGTCTATCTTCCGTGTCCCAGTTCTCACTGGGACCTGCCGCTTTTCCTCCCTATTAACTTTTTTTTTAATGGGAGCTCTTACTCGCAGCATTTCCTCACCGCCATGTTGATTCGCCTCCTCATTATGGTTTTGATTTGAATTCCCTTTATGCTAGTGATGCTAAGCATCTTTTCATGGCCTTTTGAACATTTTTATATTTTCTTCAGATAGTGTAATATCTTTTCTTAACTATTTTTTCTTGTAATAAGCACTAACACTTAATTTTTAAGCCATATTTGAAAAAAAGCAACACCTTAAAATAATACGTCAATGATGAAATGAAATCATGTTCCAAATAATACTCCTTGCCTAATAGTGGTCTTTGCACCAATAAATATCAGTGTTCTGTGAAGGTCTATAGACCTATACAGTGAAATGCATACAACAAGAGAATTCTGTGTTTACATCACATAGTCTGCTAAGTTTTGCACTGTGTGACAAAACATAGCTTTCTGTGTTCTTTGTAGAAGGTTAAGATAAAAATACATCAGCCTAGGCCTCCCTGGTGGCGCAGCCGTTGCGCGCTGGGTTGTGAAGCTACCCCCAGCCTCTGCAGCACCGGTTAGAGCCCTGGCCACTGAGTGAGGGTCCCACATGGCGTGCAGACCTCTCCTGCAGCCCACTGCTCCCCTCAGCAGTGTGTTTCGTCAGTCTGCCTGCTCTACTCTCTGCTCTGACTCTGGTGAATTCTCCTACCCTTGCGCGCTTCTGACTGTACCCAGTGCTTGTATAAAGAAAGAAATAAATCTTTAAAAAAAAATACATCAGCCCACCAACAGAAGGGCAAGATAGGCTTGCTTTATCTGCCAGTTGCCCTGCAGAACTTTCACAAGAAATTAGGGGAAAATGAAATTGCAAAACCTGCAATAGCAGCAGTAATCACCACTCCTTTTAGATAGAATTGTAACAGTTTTCCTGTTTGGGGAATAAATTTATAAACTGAATGGATTACAATTACATAAGTATTTTTAAAATATGGCTATTTTCATTTGGGATATTGTGGGTGAAAAAATGAATAAAGAAATACTGAAGCAATATCAAGCAGTTCTTTCTTCGAGTGATTTTTTTTTTTTAAGATTTATTTATTTATTTATTTGTTTGTTTGTTTGTTTATACAAGCACTGGGTACAATCAGAAGTGTGGGAGGGTGAGAGAATTCACCAGAGCCAGAGCGGGAAACAGAACAGGCAGACTGATGAAATACACTGCTGAGGGGAGCAGCGGTCCCAGCAGGAGAGGTCTGCCTGCCATGTGGGACCCTCGCTGGCTGGCCAGGGATCGAACTGGTGCTGCAAAGGCTGTGGGCAGCTTCACAGCCCAGCGCTCAACTGCTGTTCTACCAGTGGAGGCCCAGGTGATATATTTTTATAAGGGAATAAGTGTCCAGAAGATGTTATAATTGAACAGAAAATAAGCATATGAAACAGTAAAATTGTTTGTTGGATATGGAGTTTGTCTGAGATGCTGAAAAATTACCACACATACTTAATGTCATTAATTGTACACCTTAGTGAGGGCCCCCCACACACACACCACTACCAGGATGTTCAGTCCTATTGTCGATTGAGATCTCATGCCTTCAGCTCTTTGTCTAACTTTTTCCCTTTTCTTGGAGTCTGATTTCTCCTTTATGGAATTCTCATACGTCAGGTCTTTTTACCTGGATGAACCAAGTTTTTATTTGTTTGCTTGTTTATTTACAATCCTACCGAGGGCCAGGGATCTGTTTGATGAAAGGATTATTTATCCATCCCACTATTAAGACTCCACTACTCTTGAGATCAAGCATCCCAGGTAGCTTGAAAAAGGTTCAGGGTGAGCTACAGAAGGTTTGACCTCTGCTCCAGGGCCTGCCACCCATGGGGCCTTCCCAAAGGAGTTTGTCTGCACTTCGGTGGGGGAACAGTCCCCTCTAGCAAAGGACACCCTGGGGACAGAGGCCTCTTCCAGTCCTGCCTGTTGTCCAGGTCACTCCATCTGGTTACCTTGACTTTGCAGAGGCCAACCAGTTAAGAGCAGCCCACACTGGTGTTGACTAAAAAGAAACTGAGAAACTGTAGGGGCAGGATGGCCACTGAGCAGGTTTTCTGATCCGGCAGACCCGTAAAGGAGGAGTCCTGGCGCCCTCAATGGCTTTACATGCATTGCAGCAACCAGGTACATGGCAGGCAGGGGTGCTGGGGGTCCAGGAAGCCAGTAGGCCTCCAAGCCCCTGGCAAGTCTTCACTCTGGGTTTCTCTGGCTTCTTTCTCCCCTTCTCTCTCCTGCCTCTCTCTTGATTCCGCTTCTCTTCTTGGTGACTATCTCACTACTCCTCCCATGACCCACCGAAGTAAATAAGACAGTCTGCAACAATGTAACAACTGCAGGTACCCGGTCATGCAGGGGCAATCCTAATGGTGGGAGGGCAGAAAAGCCTGGAAAACCATTTACCCTACAGGATGCAAAACTAAATAATTTTATTAAAGAATCAAGAGTGAGTACTTGGTTCAGGTAGTAGTATCCAGCTAGCGCTGGGAAATCTTGCTGAATTCTGAGATTCTCACAGGTTTATATCCAGCTATTCCCAGGATTTTTATAGGGGCAAAGAAAGCTTGGGCAGGGGTCTGGTTAATGTAGGTATCCAATGTTGTCTATGCATTAAGGAAAATAAAGAGAGTTTTTAAAATTTACCCTATTTAGAGCTGACCTTCTGGGAACTGGGTGTTTTAGCAATGTCATCAACCTTGAAGTCTGTGTTTCTTTGAAGTTACTGACTTATGCTGAGACAGCAGTCTTCAGGTGCTATAACCTCTTCACAGGACTGAGGTAGAACAGGAATTTAGCACAGAGACAGCATCCCTCCATCCAGTAACTGAAGAAATGTCTGTGCACATGCCAAAGCAAGGTGACCCAAACCCTACTAGTTTAGACCCTTTATTTCACTTACCCCCTGGGTGCCCTTGTAAAACTTCCCCTATATACTAAAACATAAATGTTATGGCCCTGTGGTCTAGCTAAATGAAACTGGTCAAAACCCATCCAGTACACATCCAGAGACAGAGAGAAAGAGACAGAAAGAGAGAGAAAGAGAGAGAGATAATTGTGTGTATAATAAGTAGCTTCAGGACCTATGGTACAATTCTCTCTCAAATTTTCCTGGACTCACTCTTGAGTTTGTACTCTGGCCTATAATTGTCATTTCTATTTATTTTTAAAGATTTATTTATTTATTTATGCATACAAGAGCTGGGGTGTAGGCCTGGGGTGTGGGGGAGGGGAGGGGAGAGAATTTACAAGAGACAGAGTGAGGAGCAGAACGGGCAGATCTACTGAAATACACTGCTGAGGGGAGCAGCGGGCAAGACAAGAGAGGTCTGCTATGCCATGTGGGTTAGCTCCCTGGCTGGGGATCGAACTTGTGCTGCAGTGGCTGCTGATAGCTTCATAGTGCTAAGACTTAATCCCTTGTGCCACCAGGGAAGCCCTGAAGTGTCAATTTCTAACTCACCTATTCTGACTCCTACATGAAGCTACCCTCAGTACCCTCAGGCCCCATCATTGTGGTGAAGCAAGCAAAAGAAATACTATATAGTTTCTCTTTCCTTTTTTTGTCTTTCTGTTGTCTTAGGACATAATCTCTCCCTTGTCTGCTGATCACAGCTCCCTGATTTATGAGTAGCAGGGATATTGTCCACGCTGCACAGAATCAAGTAATCAGTGGATTCTACCTGACAGCAAACCTGATGAAAAGTAAGAATGTCAGTGACAAAAAGGAGTTCACTTCTCCTTTCATTTTTCTTTTTTACTGGAACAGAAATCTCTCTATCCCTGCATATTCACTGCCCACTCTGAGCTACTCACGCTTTACTAGGACACAGTTGTATTCTTTCACCTCTAAGTGGAGGACAAGCCTTCTCCTACTTTGTTATGACAGGGAGTTACATGGCCCTTCTTGTTAGAAAAGAAAGGAGGCCAAGAGCATCAGACAAAAGCAGACTTTATTGAATGTCCATGAGGTGACAACTCTCTGCAGGCCAAGAGTCGTGCCCCAAAATGGGAGCATGTGTCTTACAGGGTTAGGCTACTGCCAGAGTTCGTTGGGATCGCGGGTGGCAGGGTATCTCCTGCCAGGAGGGGATGTGCTAGGATTTATTGCCAGGGGCAGGGGTCTTTCCTGCCAGGAGGACCCCAGGAGGGTCTGCTGGAGTATCTACTGCTGTCAGTTTATCTCTAGTTTAGCTTATCTCCCGCACCTTGGGCCGCTGGGCACCGGTGGGCAGTGATGGCTTTTATGATAGGCCTGTGTGTGCTCTCTTCACTTCTGACTTTTTTTCTTCCCTGCTCTCCCATTAACCCAGAGTGGCAAACCCCCCCCCCCACATTCAGTTGTTAGAAAAAGCAAATAATTGGCCTGTGGTATTGTTGTGCAACCAACCCAGACTGGGTAGGTTCACTGTCAATTCCCACAGGAAAAAATAAAAGAGAATTTTGGAGCCGTCAGTATTATTGTACTCAGTATTATTTTAATGCTGAATCAGAGGACAGACAAGCAAGCAGGGAGACAGCAACTGAGCCCCTAGCCTCAGAGGGACCCGCCCTCACCCTCACCACTGGGAGCACCAGAGCAGAGGAGCCCCTTTTATTCCTTGCTTCTGGGCATAGGTGTCCATGTTTAGATATGTGCACACCCCGGGCTCTCTGGTCAAGTCCGTGATCATGGGTGTGTCCAAGCCCATGCCTCTCCACCCCAGGGAATCCGAGCAGCAACCTGGGAGGCATGCAAGACCAGATGGTATCCATAGAGGCTAGCAGGGGAAGGGCAAAAGAAAAGCCTGTTTTAACTCCATTTTCCCTGCAGTTATTTACTCCCACCTGGCCATGAAAATTAGGTCAGGATGGTAGAAAAGGTGATTTTAACCCACCTCTTAGAAGTTGATACCATAATTTCAGTTTTCAGGCCTAGTCTCCCAACCAGGAATGGATCCCAGGATGCAATGGCACTGCTGAGTCCCAGCCACTAGACCACCACAGGTTGGTGTCTCACAAAGCCGTAGCAGGAACTTCGCCGAGTCTCAGGCCAGCAAGTGAAAGAGGCAGATTTGTTTAGAAAAAGAAAAAATTTACTGAGGAGAAAAGGAACAGAAATAAAGTGGGACTCCCAGGCCAATGGAGCCAGGCCAGGGAGGAGCAAGGAAGCCGAAGTAGAGTTGTGTCTAAGGGAATATAGACCTTCTTTCCCTAATTATTCTAAAGATCCACCAGTCTCTTTGTGAATGGTTAGTTCTTAGTGGTCTCACTCACTCAGCCTTAATGTCTCTGTGCCCAGAACTAAGTCTTTGTGTTCCAGCCCTTATCTCAGCATACTTTTCTTTATCATCCTTGTTCCAGAAAGTCTTGTTGTCCCTAGTCCTGGGGTGTTTGATTAGTTCCCTTCGGAATTTGTTGCCCTTATTTCTGGAAACTTCCTTAACGCTCCTGAAGTCCCTGCACCTGCTTAATTATCCCTTAATAATACTGGATTTAAAAAATAATAAATGATCATTAAAATGTTGGGTGAAAAAGATATAAAGCATTTTATCATCCCAGTAACCTTTCTAATACATAAGCATGTATTTCTAGTTAACAGTCTACCCTCTGAAGAGAGCACACACAGGCCCACCGTAAAACTCATCACTGGCGCCCGGCACCACATCCCAGCAAGCCGACATCATCGAGACTTTGTGCCTAGCCAAACATCAAAAATATTATACATCTAAAGTTCTTATATGGAGGGAGCATGGGTTCCTTACACAAAGACACATCCTCCCATCTCTAATGGAAATCTCATACATTCTCTCCTGGAAGCAGCAAACAGACCTTCCCAAGCAGCCATCATGCATTGTAAAGGACACCAAAGGGACACATCGTATATCTCCACTATGTGTAATGCTGCAGACACCACGGAAAAATAGGCTTCTATGCTTCAGGCAAACCACAGAGCCCTACCCCTTCTCCAGTCCTCATCCAGAGGATATGCCAGGACATGGCCACAAACCCAACCAGGACCACGCTCCCTGAACACCTCACTCAGTCCCTCCTCCACTACTTACACTCCTTTTCCACCCACACATCCAAACCCTCCAAACTTTCCTCAAACAGTTTGTCACTCACACCACAGCAGGCCCAGGACCTCCAGTCCCTATCCCAAGACTGCCAGATCTATAATCAGACCAAACCCATACCAATCTGAGACTCCCCACCCTTTCCCACCAACCTGGCCAGGGGCTCTTTGCCTGCTGTGGCAACTAGACTTTACTTGACTTTATTCACATGCCCCCAGTACATAGACACAAATACCTCTTGGTTCTCCTGGACACATTTACAGGATGAGCTGAAGTCTTCCCCACCAAAAACAAGCAGGCCTCAATAGTCACCAATGATCTTATGACTGAAATAATTCCCCTGTTTCAGGATCCCCACTACTTTACAATAGGACAATGGACCAGAATTCACCTCTGCCATCACTCAGACTCCAGCTTCCTTTCCCCAGATTCCCTGGAAATTCCACATCCCCTACAGGCCCCAATGCTTTGGGAAGGTAGAATGATTTACAAACCATACCCTAAAAAATATTCTCACCAAATTATCCTTGAAACTTAACTCCCCAGGAAGACTCTCCTTCCCATCACCCATCCTACATGGGAGTCCTTGTTTCAGCAGGTTGTTGTAGTGCTCCATGATGCCAGCAGCCTTGCAATTTACAGTGCATAGAATTTCCATGCAACACTGATGTCTGTGGCCCACTGCTCCACCAAGGTAGCTGCAAAATGGGTTCTTTGGTCGCTCTCCAACACCCGGACATCCATATGCAGCACTTAGGTATCAGTGCTGCCAAAACTTCCTCTTGGTCCATGTGTCAAGCAGGATAAGCTCCTAATAGACCAGTAGCAGTGTCCACACAGGTGGCCACATACTGGTCTCCATAAGAGTGGTGTAACTGTCCAATGATGTCAATCTGCAAGTGTGTCCTGTGTACCTACCCTCATAACTCCTGGCCCGTAAAAGCAAAATTTTGTGGAGTTTGAGTCCTGGAACTCTACACATCGTTCACAGTCTGAATCTCCTTTAAAGTCATAAGTAAGCCCCAGGTAAGCACGGTGGGCCACGTTGTCTTTCACCCAGCATGGAGCAAGCATTTGTGCAGCCACTGTGCAACATCCCACCCAAGAGCAGCTTTAAGCCACCACACCTGGGCCAGGGTGTCAGCTTCATCATTGCCTTAGTGAGGCCAATGGGGCATGCCCTGTGATATAGTCAATGGTTACCTGTTTCTGATAACCCAGGTCCCATAGATCTTTCCATAGCCCTGGCCCCACAGCAGCTGATGTGTTCCACATGGAAATCCACAGGGTCAAGTCCCTGTACACAGCCCAACTTTCCCACTGGGGAAGGCTCATGGGCCACCTGCTCATCTTTCAGCCCATTGGCTGCCCTGTCTTGTCCCCATTTCAAATCAAATGGTGTCTGTTTCTGGGTGTACAGCCACAGCTTCCATGATGCTGACTGGCCAGGCTGGGACCATACTTGTACCAGGTCTCTGCTTGGATTGGTGCCCTCCTTGTAGGGACTGGCCTCTGGCATGGCTTCTATGCAGGTCTCTGAAGTCAATTCCATGTTGACATATGTCACTGCACTAAGGATATGTTTCAACTCCACCTGTAAGGGGATAATTGACAGTGCAGTGCTGTTGTATATATGCCCCCCTACTTTGCTAAAGTGAGCATCTGAGCAGTACCACTGTGGGGCTTTGTTGCCCAATCCTGTACCCACCCAGCTATAAGGTAGACAGTTTGCACTAGGACAGCAACTGTGGTGGTTATGCTTTCAGTAGCTAGTAAAACTGCATACACCACAGCTTACTGCTTTTCAGCCAAAGAATACCTAGTCTCAGCCCCTTTCCAGACTTGGGACCAAAACCCAGTGGGCTTTCATAGCAGCTGTGATTTCTGCCAGAGTTCCCAACTGAACCCTTCCTGAGTAACTTGAACTTCTAACTTACAGAGATGGGCTTGGTCAAAAATCTGCCAGGCCTGAGCATCCTTTATGACCTATTTGGCTGCAGCATATGCTGTGTCTGCCTTAGTAGATCAACTCATCTGGCCCCTTTATTTATCAACACACACAGGGGCTGTAAGGGCTGGAACATATGTGGTATAAATGTCCTCTTGTAACTCAGCAGGCCCAGAAAGGTTTGCAACTGCATCGCTGTGGTTGGAGTGGGGCAAGCTTGCACTTAATCTATTATAGCATCAGGGATAACTTTTGTCTTACCTGACAGAACAACCCCCAAGAACTTGACTGACAATCCAGGACCCTGCAGTTTGCTTTCGTTGATTGCCCAGCCACATGTCAGGTGCATCAGTAGGAGAGGAACAGACCTTTCCAAATCTTCAAGAAAGTCACTGAGGACAAATGCACTGAGGACAGCCTCTCCCATTGGGCCAAATCAGCTGCCACCAGCCCGTGGCACAGAGTAGGGCTATGCAGGTATCCCTGCCAAAGAACAGTGAATGTCCACTGCCGGCCTTCCCATGTGAAGGCAAACTGGTCTTGACTCTGGTGTTATAGCAACAGGAAAGAAAATGTGAGCTAGATCAGCTGCCAAGTGATAAGTGCCCAGTTCATGGTTCAGATGATTCATCAAGCCTGCCACTGAGGGCACTGCTGCATGCAAGGGGGAACCACTTTATTCAACTCACAGTAATCTACCA